TCCCAGCTCTCTTCAGGTCTTTGACCAGGTCCTGCCGTGTAGTTCTGGGCTGATCCCTCACCTTCCTCATGATCATTGATGCCCCACGAGGTGAGATCTTGCATGGAGCCCCAGACCGAGGGTGATTGACCGTCATCTTGAACTTCTTCCATTTTCTAATAATTGCGCCAACTGTTGTTGCCTTCTCACCAAGCTGCTTGCCTATTGTCCTGTAACCCATCCCAGCCTTGTGCAGGTCTACAATTTTATCCCTGATGTCCTTACACAGCTCTCTGGTCTTGGCCATTGTGGAGAGGTTGGAGTCTGTTTGATTGAGTATGTGGACAGGTGTCTTTTATACAGGTAACGATTTCAAACAGGTGCAGTTAATACAGGTAATGAGTGGAGAACAGGAGGGCTTCTTAAAGAAAAACTAACAGGTCTGTGAGAGCTGGAATTCTTACTGGTTGGTAGGTGATCAAATACTTATGTCATGCAATAAAATGCAAATGAATTACTTAAAAATCATACAATGTGATTTTCTGGATTTTTGTTTTAAATTCCGTCTCTCACAGTTGAAGTGTACCTATGATAAAAATTACAGACCTCTACATGCTTTGTAAGTAGGAAAACCTGCAAAATCGGCAGTGTATCAAATACTTGTTCTCCCCACTGTATATATATATATATATATATATAAAAAAAAATTTGGGGGGGGGGTGGATCAGCTTAATATTGCAGATAGATGTATCTTCTATCAATGTAATTGTCTGCATCACTTCCAATCCCCCATGTTTTTTATATATATACTCCCCTTTATTACTTTTCAACCCCGCCATCCTTTCCCTACTTGGAGTAAATTAGTGAACAACAATAACCAGGCCTCTACTTCCGGTCTATACTTACTATCTACACCTTATGGACACAGTTAATTTTACAATAATTATATATATATATATATTTATTTATTTTTTGCTCCTGAACTTCTTCTACTCTCAACCTTTCCGATCATTTTCATGATGTCCATCCGGTTTGCTTCTATATGCCATATCTTTCTAACTGTGCTCTTTCCCAAAAGCTCCCAACATACAACCTATATACTTATTATGGACACAGTATGCTTACATTATTAGCTATCTTTGCTATTATTTGTTGTTATTTGTTATTAGTCCCATCCTTCTACTCTATTCAATACCTCCCATCTATTTCTTAACACCATCCATATAGGATTTCTATTTTCCATATATATTTCAACCGTACTGTAATGTTTTACAAAAGTTCTGAACCTTTCTATTCTCATTGCTTCTACAGATTGTGAATTAAAAATAAACATTTTTGCTAAAAGTATTATTATATTATTGATCGATTGACTATGACTTTTCAGATCACCCAGTAATGCTATCTGCAAGGTTAGCTCCAGGTAAATATTGCAATCCTTTAGCCATTCCTGGACCTGTGTCCAAAAACAAGCTACAAATGGACAGAACCAAAACAAATGATCTAATGATTCTGTCTCTTCACAGCAAAATCTGCAGAGCTGGGAAGATTATATCCCCCATATAAATAACATTCTATTGGTAGCAAGAATTTTATATAATAATTGTAATTGAAAGATTCTAATTTTTGAATCCGGTGTCGTTTTGCGTGTCAGTTCATAAACACTATGCCATGGGATCGGTACGTCAAAGATCTCTTCCCAACTATTTTGCAATCTATATGGGACGGCTGTCAATCCTTTGGTCCTTAAGTGAAACTGATATACTTTTTTATTTATCACAGTTTTCCTTAACCAATTATGTTCTTTAATGCAAGGCCGACAGACAAGGCCGACAGACAATGTATTTTTCACTTTACAGAAGAGGAGAATGTAAGCTGACTGACAGGGAAGGAAGAAACGTTGATGCATATTTGCCAGCTCATAATAGATTTAGGCCTAGAGGCCTTGCATTCTGTACCAACGAGAACACTCAACTGGAAGGTACAGTTGGGGTACTTTCTACAAATACAAAACACTATTTAATACAAAATATTAGAGGGCCACTTGCAAATCGGTCTCTTGCAACACCAAATAAAACGGCCAGTATTAACAGCAGATAGTGAAGTTTCCAACAGCACATTCACCAGCACTTTTGTCTTGATGAATCAGCAAATCAAATAGGAAATATAAAGATGACTTATGAGACAGATAAAGCGAGAAGTCTAGTATAATCTCAGAGGCAGGGACGCTGGTTTGACTTGGCCTGTCTGAGTAGTGATTTATGGTACACAGCATTTTCATTGACCAGCTGCGTTTAACATCATCACTGATGCAGACAGCATTGATTGTGCATCAAACCTGTCGTTGGTCAAAGTGGCCAGTGCCACATTAGCATACAGCTATCAAAACACAGAGGGAAACTTCCAAGAAAACATACACTTCGTAAACAGAATGCTATAATAAGTGTGCTATATTGGCTTGACAGACAAATTGGGGTTGGTTTGATTGCGACAACAGGTGTAACGTTGTGCATGAAAGTGCATAGATGCATACTGTATGTTTGTAGTATCTACTACAGCTCAATAGTCGAGTGGGATGCCATAGTTTTGGATAAACCCTCAGACAGACGTTTCCTTGCACCAGCGCACATATTCAGACACACGCACCCACGCACAGACGCACCCACGCACAGACACACGCACAGACACACGCACGCACAGACACACGCACGCACAGACACACAGACACACACACACACAGACACAAACACGCACAGACACACGCACGCACAGACACACCACGCACAGACACACGCACAGACACACGCACGCACAGACACACGCACGCACAGACACACGCACGCACAGACACAAACACGCACAGACACACGCACGCACAGACACACACAGCGTGTGTAGGAAGATCAGTTCCAGTGTGTGGGTCGGGTCTCTCTGAAGATGTAGGATCAGCTGGATGTGAAAGTATTCAAACAGAGGGATTTGTTCTGTCTCTGCATCTGCGACTCTGCATCTGCGACTCTGCATCTGCGACTCTGCATCTGCGACTCTGCATCTGCGACTCTGCATCTGCGACTCTGCATCTGCGACTCTGCATCTGCGACTCTGCATCTGCGACTCTGCATCTGCGACTCTGCATCTGCGACTCTGCATCTGCGACTCTGCCTCTCTCTGTGTCCTCCCCTCAGTTGTAAGGCAGTGTCAGGGCAAGGAAAAACAGCCAGACATGTTGCTATCTATCTGAACTACATGTCTCGCCTACAGTTCACATAGCACTGTAGCCTCCACCTAGACTGTATCTCTGGTCTTCTAGAGATACAACAGTTAGCTACAGCACATACAGATAAAGGACAAGGCTAGTTAAACTGTGCCATCTAAGAACATATCGGGTACAGTACAAACTAATGCTTTTAACTACGGGTTTCAATGCATAGATAATGTTTAAGTGCATAAATGTATAGCTTTGGTCTGGGTTGATAATGTACTACAATACCAGTCCCATACAGACAAAATACATAATGAATGCCTCAAGCCTGTCATAGAAATTGATCTGATTCTGATTTTGGGTTAATAGAACCAACCAGACAGACCGACATTAACTAGAATGACCTGACTGGGTTGTTCCAGAAACAAAGACTCCAAAATAAAACTGACCTCTATAAGGGGACTATAATTAGCCTTACCATCCACACACAGGAAATCTTTAAAAGTCTCTGCTCTTTTAAACGGCAAAACATATTACAAGAGAGCGAGACACAGAGAGAGAGAGAGAAATAGAGAGAGTCTTTGTGTGAGGTTTTATTGTAAAGATGGGCTAAGCAGTGAACAGACAGTAGAGGTAACTCAAAGCAGACATTGACAGCTCCAGGGCTCGTCAGACAGGGCTGTGCTGTTGTCGGTGTTATGTATTATTTCATGCTGTTAGCTCAGGTCTCTGGATAGCTCCCACCAACTGAACTCCCTATTGCTGACCTATACTTATCTATAACTGGGCTAATAACTTGCTAACTAGGCTCTGATCTGATCTGAAAAGCGTATTCACTCGCGGGTGATTGAATGACCGCTCGTGGGCTACCCCCGCCAATAGAATCCTACTCCGTTACGCTCTGGCTCTGCCTACAACACAATACCAGAATAAATCTTGCAAAGTTAGATTTGTTTTGGTTTGTTGCATTGAAAAGGGACTGATATAATGTTGATTCGATCACAGAAAAAACATTTATATAGTGCAAACTAATGGGGCGAACGCAGTGAAGCCTGGCATTTGTTCTGCGCGCCAGTCCTGGAGGATGTGCACAGCTTAGAGAGAACACTGGCTCCCACCAATGGCCAAGTTTTACAGGTCTGTATTACTCTGATTTACAGGTCTGTATTACTCTGAGGTGGTGTGGTCCTCTGTAGCTCAATTGGTAGAGCATGGCGCTTGTAACGCCAGGGTAGTGGGTTCGATCCCCGGGACCATCCATACGTAAAAATGCATGCACACATGACTGTAAGTCGCTTTGGATAAAAGCATCTGCTAAATGGCATATTATATTATTTACTCCATCATCTCCCTCCTCCATCTCTCCATCCTTGGGTCTGGGTCTGGCGCTGAGGGAGTCTGGGACATGGACAGCTGGGGCCGGGGTCGGACCTATGCAGGACGTGACATCACACTTCTTTATTTATCCCCCTTTTACACCTGACATTGGGTGGAAATCCATAGAGTCCTGAGCAGGAGAACAACGCAACCGAAAGGTTCTGTACACCGGCGGTAGAGGAACGGATTGATGACCCAGGAGGGAGCAGGGCAGGGCGAGGGTCAAACACCATGATACATCCACAAGGCCAGGGTGAGAGGGACACACACACACACACTGCCTACCGACACACTCTGTCAACACAGAGTTTACACGCATGAAAGTTATTATCACACAGATACACGTGTCCCATTCTCTCATCTTAGAGCGCTCTCCCTCAGCAGGCGGAGTCAGTGAGTCCACCACTGCTATAGGTGTAGTGGTGTTTGTAGATTAGACTACTTACTACTTGTAGGTCTCGGAGCGGACGTATTCAAACACATGGGAGACTCCCAGCTGGAATTGGTCTGCTATGGGGGTCACCCACGGGTTATTCTCTGCCTTGAACACCTGCTTAGGCCCAGTCAGATCCAGGTTACCTGAGGAGAGACAGAGGGGGATGGACAGAGAGAGATTAGGAGATTTAGAGAGATACAGAAAAGAGTGTTAGGGAGGAAAGGAGAAGTCAATGGGTGGAGAGATGAAGGGGTGGGGAGAAGAGGAGTGAGGAAAGAGGCAGAGCAAGGGCGAAAGAGTGAACAACGTTCTGATAACATTGTGGCGCGGGCGACGGGTCAATGTGCTAATGTGGTTGATGGTAGCACCTCAAAGACCAATTAACACACATCTGATTAGCCCAGCACTGAGAGAGCTGTCTGGGCCTAAAGCCTAAAACCCCAAGGTCCCCCCAACCTCAACCCAACGTTACGCCTGGTCAGAGCCAGCCAACACCAGCAGCCCCATGCTAACTAGTCAGTTAGTGTTGTTCAGCTGTTCATCTATAATTGTACAGAATCTACAGTTTCACTGCTCTGCTTACTCAACTCCTCGCTTTCAGCTTTGTCTGGGAAAATACAGTGAGACTGAACTAAGGTTGAATTCAGAGAGTGAATGATTTCATGGTTTTACAGTATGACTAAAATGTAATAATCTTCCTGAAATACACTTTTTTAGATTTATATTACATACATCTGAAACCTCAGAAAGAGAATAATCTCCATATTTTTTATATTTTCCCTTCCTCCTTTCCATCCCTCCCTCCCTCTCCCCTGGTTACAGGATGAGGTGGTGTTAGTCCCTCTCCCCTGGTTACAGGATGAGGTGGTGTTAGTCCCTCTCCCCTGGTTACAGGATGAGGTGGTGTTAGTCCCTCTCCCCTGGTTACAGGATGAGGTGGTGTTAGTCCCTCTCCTCTCCAGTGTGGTCTTTACAGCTACACTATGCCTGCTCTTCTATCCCCATACTTGTACTTCCCTTGTGCACTTGGCTGCTCCTTGTTCGAGGGGCCACTCCCTCCCTCTTCCCCCTTTATATCTTTCTTCCCTCATCCCCCTCTTTTCCTCCCCTCCATCTCTTTTTCTACCCCCTCTTTCTCAGTCTACATTCCTTCCCCTCTTTCTCCCTACCCCCCTCTCTCCTTCCTTCCCTCAGTCTCTCCCTCTCTTTTGGCTGGTGGTGTAGCTGTGGCCCTAACAAGGCCAGAGCAGTAAGAAACTGGGATTAGGGAGCCGTGACAGGGAGATTCTAATCAGCTCTACACAGAGAGTGAGAGAGATAGCGAGAGAATAAGAGTGAGAGGTAGGGAGACCATCTCTCCCGCCCTCTCCTTCATCTCCTGAACTCTCTCTCTCCCGCTTTAGGTCTTGGCTGAAGACATTCCCTTTTTTGGTTTTTACTAACTGATGAAAATATTTCCTTTGTATTGTACTGGAAGGAGATTCAGTTTTGTAAGCTGAGCTGGGTTGAGCGGTGTTTCTCCACAGTGTGTTTCACTGCAGAACCTCCAGTGGTGAGGGTCCACACATTGTACTCTACATGCTGTCAGAGAGAGGGTTGACCCCTGGTGACCTCTGTGGGGGTTCATGGATCTGTGAAGCATGCAGTCTGGGGCATGCGCGCGCGCACACACACACACACACACACACACACACACACACACACACAGGGACAGTGGGGCAGTGGAGCGATGCTGGAAGAGGCCAGCCAATCAGAGGAGCAGTCAACTACACCTGCACCACACATACAGTGATTGTGTGAGTGTGTGTGTATGCGTGTGTGTGTCCATGCACATGTGTCTGTGTGCAATAGTGTGTTTGTGTGATCAGTCTTACCCAGTTCAGGAGGCAGCACAGTGAGCCTGTTGCCCTGAATGTGGAGCTCTTTGAGCTGGGCCAGGTCTCCTATCTCTTTAGGCAGAGAGATCAGATCATTATCCCTCAGACTCAGCTATGGAGAGGAGGATAGAGGGAGAGGGAGGGAGAGGGGGATCTCCTAGAGGAGAGGGGGGGAGATAGAGGGAGAGGGATAGAGGAGATAGGGAGAGGGTAGGGATGAGGGGATGAGGGAGATGGATCAGGGGATAGAGGGCCGGGTCAGAGGGAAGAGCTCGATGGAGAGGGATAGAGGGAGAGGAGGGAGGAGGGGGGATAGAGGGTATCTGTAGTGCGAGGGGGATGGGGAGGTGAGAGGGGATAGAGGGAGAGGAGAGAGGGGGATAGAGGGAGAGGGAGGGAGAGGGAGGATAGAGGGAGAGGGAGGGAGAGGGGGATAGAGGGAGAGGGAGGGAGAGGAGGGGAAGGGGGGGAGAGGAGGGAGAGGAGGGATAGAGGGAGAGGAGAGGGAGAGGGAAGAGGGAGAGGGAGGTAGGGAGGGGGAGAGGAGGATAGAGGGAGAGGGAGGGAGAGGATAGAGGAAGAGGGAGGATAGAGGGAGAGGAGGCGAGGGGTAGAGGGAGAGGGAGGGAGAGGGGGATAGAGGGAGAGGGAGGAGAGGGGGATAATGAGAGACGTAGAGGGAGAGATGAAGCACAAGAGAGAAAGAAAGAGGAAAACAGGGATTTACACATTCTGTATATAAAACATTAATGTGTACTGTTTGCACAGCAGACATTCATCCACATATACTAAACAATGATTTCCCTACTACAATCTGAATTAAAAATCTTGATACATCCCAATAGGAGAAACACATATCATTACTCTTGAAGTCCTTATTGTGGGGAACCACCACTCTGATGCCAGTGAACTACCTCTTAAATCAGTTGTAGGTGACAGAAAAAACACGGAATCAACCAAGCAATACAAAGGCAGAGAAAGGAGAGCACTGATTTTCAGAGGGAGATATTTAGATAAATGACTCACGATCTGCAGCTTGCCCAGCTTGCCGATGTCTGGAGGCAGCATCTCAAAGTCGTTGTCGCTGAGATAGAGTGCACGCAGGGTGGCTGCAATTCAAACAGCAGCTGGTTAATGTGTGTGGTGTGTGTGTGTGCGCGCACTGGACTTTCAGTCCTAACCAGGCCGAAGCGTGATCAATAAGACCAGTCACGGCTGATTAATAACAGTTTGCAAGCTCTGGGCAGCTGACACACACACACGGGTCAAACATAGATTTACTGCCGCTTGTCTAGTCGGGGGGGGGGGGGGGGGGGGGGGGGCAGCGAAACGTCTTTATAAACAAACACACATACATATACTGACACACTGGAAGACAGCAGCACACACTGCCTCATTCTCCCTCACACACAGAGACACACACAAACAGAGACACACACACACAGAGACACAACACACACACACACACAGAGACACACACACACACAGAGACACACACACACACAGAGAGACACACACACACACACACAGACACACACACAGAGAGACACACACAGAGACACACACACACACACACACACACACACACACACACACAGAGAGACACACACACACACACACAGAGACACACACACACACACACACACACACAGAGACACACACACACAGAGACACACACACACAGAGACACACACACACACACACACAGACACACACACACACAGAGAGACACACACACACAGAGAGACACACACACACACAGAGACACACACACACACACAGAGACACACACACACACACAGAGACAGACTAGATCTTCAGATTCACTGACACTATTCTTCCATCAGGGATTTGGGGAGATATCCAGACAGACAGGCATACTTCCTGGTTGCGTGTTACTCTAAGGGAAGCAGATCCTTTGGAGCAAAGTAGAATACCAAAAATAGCCACACACAGGCTTCTAATAGCAACAATGAAAGTGCATATCCTCCTTCTTGTATCTCTGATTGTCTTTAATCATATGCACCCCATTCATTAATCAGTGGCTGTTTAATTTTGGCAGGGAATTAGTAGTGATCTGTGTGTGTGTGTGTGTCTGGGCATCGTAGCAGAGGAGCCTCCTCCAGCTTTGATAGATGGAGCGGGGAGGAGAGGAGGTAGTGTGTGAGGCGAGGGGAGGAGGGGGGTAGGGTATAAGATTAAAATGGAGCTGATTGCTGTGTGAATAGTGCTTTCATTATGTCATCATCAGTATTAAAATAACAGGCCATTAGTAGAGCTAGCACAGCAGCCTCAGAGAGAGAGAGAGAGATGGGGAGACCACTCCCTCTCACACGCTCCCACTCATTCATTCACTCACTCTCTCACCAGAGAGAGCGCGTCAATTACCAGAACAGGCTGGTGGACGGAACAGAGGAGAGTTGATTGGAAAGATGATGAGGCCCATGATGATGATGTGCTTGAGTCAGTTATAAGAACTGTGCTCTGCTCTGTGCATGGTGATAGGATAAATATTTCAGTCGTACTTGAGTGTATGTGTTTCTTCATGGTCTTCTGTGCATGTGTGTGCGATGCAGTGTGTGTGTGTGTGACTCACTGAGGTAGAAGAAGTTCCCAGGCAGTGAGCTCTCGTTCAGGTTGTTGTAGGTCAGGTCCAGCACCTCCAGAGCAGGCAGGGACCCAAATCCTCGGGGCAGAGTACTCATCCTGTTCATACTGCACAAACACAATGACAGTTCGAAACCAATGAGTTAAACCAACTCACAGCTTTACAATGGCATTTTATGAGGTAGTCCTCGACTTTAAAAAATCTGTGTCACCCTCAGCACAAGAGGACATTTCCTCTTGGTCTAATGGTTAAGACGTTGGTTTCCTCAGCCTGTGACACTATTTATACAGTAAATCCAATATAATTTCCTGTGAACACAGAGTCATTATTTTGTTGTCATACTAGCTGACATTCACATCGTAAGAAATAATCTCATATTCTGCATGTAAGGTCACATACAGTCCTTGTGTTAGGCATATTCTTATAGATATTGGCAGAACTGTTTAAGGATTCTATAGAATGAGCTCAGGAGGAAGGAGGAGACGATCAAGGTGTCACTGGGTCTAGCCGTAGATCAGGTTCTGATTGAGCCCAACCACTTAAGCCTCAGTCTATACGTCCCCAGGTATTACATTATCAATGTCAACACACACACACACAACAAGAGGCTAGGCCGTCTCAAAGACACAGGGCACACAGTGGAGCGCCTTGCTTTCAGGGGGGATTTGAAAAGCAAAAACAAATTGATTCTGCGACGCCAAGATATGTTTGCAAGGCAATTACAGGTCGGGAGGCAGAGATTGTTTTGACAAATGAGATCAGGTTGGTAGGTAGACACAAATGCGCCTGCACACACACACACACAAACACCATACACACACACACACACACACACACACACACAGTACAGATTACACACACACCGCGCTGAAAGGGACAGTGGGTCCTGAATACGTCTGCAAGGCTTATGTTTCCTAGATTATGGTTGGGAGACGGTGCAGCTGACAGCCAATCCATAAGAGACGCAGAATGTCAGAGCGGCGGAGGAGATTGTAAAAACTTTGGTAATCCAGCGTGACATTGAGACCATCCCTTATCGCCAGCCCCCATCTCTCAGCGGCGAGGGGGGTTCCCACAATGTCTGGCTCCCTAAAGTATTTGGGGCTAAAACTGTAACTGGTAAACTGTTAATTCCACACCTTTGGGCTGTGACTGAGCTGGAGCAGAACATAGGAAGCAAAAGGAGAAAACTAGCTCAAGTAGGACAGATTTTTTACTTGTCCAAAAGCTCAAGTCACTTGTCCCCCCCACAAAAAAAATGGTCTGTAACACCATTTTGACATCATTGTATGATGCAAGGAACCACTCTACAAAATAAAATGCATTACTATCTTTTTTTACCATAGAGAATCAGACAGAAATGTAGGCTCTGCCAAGACTCTGAATACGTGGTCCTCTGTAGCTCAATTGGTAGAGCATGGCGCTTGTAACGCCAGGGTAGTGGGTTCGATCCCCGGGACCACCCATACGTAAAAATGTATGCGCACATGACTGTAAGTCGCTTTGGATAAAAGCGTCTGCTAAATGGTATATTATATTATTTACAACAATGCCTCTTTAAGGCTCTCCTGGAGGACGGTTGGCCACCCTTGATAGCTTATAAAATATTGCAACAGTACAATTACTTTTGTACATGTCTACGGTTCAAAACATTCTCTGGGAAAGTTCTGGCACGACAGATCCAAAGTTCATACAACCACTACACATTTTAAAAAATGAGGCTCATGCAACAGATCAGATCATTTAGCTTAAAATGTTGATCGTTTTATTACTTCATCTTATAAGCTCAACAATTAGCAAACATTCCAAAATGCAATTAGCGGAAAGCACTTCTCAAAAGCGCACTCACGCACAAGCGGTTTCATGTGACAGATGAAAATATCCGTTAGAAATTAAGAAAAGGGAAATCTAAAGATGCATCAGCTAGCATGTACTGATATGACTAGGACTATGTCTTTGGCTGCTGGACAATAAAATAATTTGATTTGAAAATCTATAGAACATGAGAAACATGCTGGTTTCAATGGCTGGTTTATACAATAATTCCCTCAGCATTTCGATGGTCATAATTTGGCTACTTTGAAACAAGACATGCTTCATAAAATGAAATAAAACGTCCAGGTTTTAAACAATTAAGTTTATGGTTGAATAGTTTCGAAACGCTGACCGCCTCCGCTCAGATTCAAGGTGGGTGATGTGCGGGGCACAACAGGCACTGTCCTTCACTCTTGTGACCATTAGATCTGAACGAACAGTGCCTCAACTATGTCGACAGAATCAAGTCTTTAGACGTTAATGTTAATTATCCTTCATTATATTTGTCAAACATGACTGGCATTTAGCCTATATTTATGAAATTAAAAGTCTCATTAAAGTTTGGCTACACTTTTCTGGCGCCTCCCTTATGTCAGCATCGGTTTGGACATGAGGCTGTAGCCAATATGCATATCACCTACACTTTGACATGTAGTCTTTTTTATTTATGTACATGAAAAATATTTGAATATTATTCCAATGTTGCCCTCTCTGATCCAATTCCGATCTGAGTAATTGTTTGATATTGTGATTTGTGTGTGATTTTATTTTTACTTCTCCATTCGGACAATTTAAATCTATTTCTTCTTGTCCAACAATTTTTTTTTAATTGTCCCGGACAACAAGCGTTAATGTCGAGCCCTGGATGAGAGTAGGAAACAAAGGAGGAGAAAACAAGTTGTGTTCCTCCTTTAAGAGGACAGAAACACACAATATGAAGCTGTCTCTGAGCCTCTTGATGTTGTCTTAACAAATAGCTAGTTACACACTGTGCCTCACACACACACACCATTCTTACATGGCATAGCCTTCATTTCTCAGAACAAGAATAGACTGACGAGTTTCAGAAGAAAGTTATTTGTTTCTGGCCATTTTGATTCTGTAATCGAACCCACAATTGCTGATGCTCCAGATACTCAACTAGTCTCAAGAACAGGGGCGGTGTGTTCATTAGGGCGATATGGGCGACGCACTGCCAAACGGGAAAAGGAAGGGATTTTTTTTCTAATCAATTATATCATGGCAACAGTAGTTATTAGTGTTCTAATCTAGACGTCTGATCTGCCACTAAATGTCCAATCAGGCTAAAGTCGTGCTTCAAATGGCCCGCCCGTTTTGGGGCGATTTCAGTCAGGTTGAAAATCGCCCAGAAGTGTCTCATAGCCTCTCATGTAAAATCTTTTTTTTTTCAAATATCAGAGCTTCAATACAATCTCTATGGGTTCCGGGAGGGCTTGCACTTACGCGCTTTCGTCATACGTAACATAACTAAGAAAAGAGCGGGTAGCAGCGTCAATCAAGATGGCTAGCGTTCAGTGCAACTCGATTGTCTCTTTGAAAGAAGTTCGTTTTTGTCGGCGAACAAATCAAGATAAATTGGCAACGAAACAATTAGGACCTCCCAGACCAAATTTAATAATTCAACAGGTTTCTACTAAAGGGGGAAAGTCCTACACCCGAGGATTTTCCAAAAATTGGGCTGTCAAAGACCCACATGGATAGCTGTTTGAGATTGTCTGCTTTGGGGAGAGTGAACATTGCCACTCAACTGGATGAGGGATACAGGCTAGCTGTCCGCCGCCACAACGGAGGTTAGCAAGAACCGCCACATCCTCAGCCGGCTAATCCAGTGTGTGAAGTTTTGCGGAGTGTTTGAGTTAGCTTTGCGAGGCAAAGATGAAACGGAGGGCTCCACCAACCCTGGTATTTTTCTTGGACTTGTCAACTTTGTGGCACAATTAGATGAGGTGTTTGATGACCATCTTAAAAATGCTAAAGTTTTCAAGGGCACATCAAAGACCATTCAAAACGAGCTACTGGAGTGTATGCTAGCGGTCATGAGGGAACATATTGTGGAGGAGGTGAAGTCGGCGAACTTCGTAGCTATCCAAGCTGACGAGACCACGGACGTTTCTACACAGACACAGCTGGTGCTTGTGCTGAGGTACATAGATAGCAAGAAGATTTTATTTTTTTCCTGGGGCTTTTTCACAAAATCATGCCCCACGTCGACATTCTGTACCAGAAGCTACAGAAGAAGGACATCGATGCAGTCTTCATCAAACGTGCCCTCGACAGCTTCACAAGCAGTGTGCAGGCCATAAGGTAAGATTAAACAATATCATTCGATCTTTCTCAAAGCAGAGCTTTATTTGAAAATGTATGCATGAAAGGAGACATCATCATATTTACAAATCTATACAATTGGCCAGAATATGGTTGTTCATTTTTACAAAGCCTTACAGATAGCTGTGTTTACCTTTTCTAGAAATTATTTTCAAATTCTGTTTTCAGGCAAAATGTCTATCACTGTTCATTTTCACAAATCTATACAAGAGGGCAGAATATGGAAGTCTATAAAAATTTCTTATTACCAATAACTTGCATCAATGTTTTCAGTAGCCTCTATCAAAAGCTCCTGCTTGCTTGTTGTGAATTATGCTCAGGTGCACATATTTCCAATTCAACCATGAGGCCTTTTTGAAGCAAGTAATGTGTATATCAGTATTGACTTATATGCTGCCCCTGTCTTCATGTTGTTGCTGGACATATATTTTTTTAAATGTGTGTAGGTCACCTAAATCATCAGAAAAATTGCCCCCCCTGAGAATTTTTTCAGGAGCCGCCACTGCTCAAGAAGGCTAGTTTTATTGCTTCTTTAATCAGCACAACAGTTTTCAGCTGTGCTAACATAATTGCAAAAAGGTTTTGTAATGATCAATTAGCCTTTTAAAATGATAAACTTGGATTATCAAACACAACATGCCATTGGAACACAGGACTGATGGTTGCTGATAATGGGCCTCTGTACGCCTATGTAGATATTCCATTCAAAATCAGCCATTTCCAGCTACAATAGCCATTTACAACATTAACAATGTCTACACTGTATTTCCGATCAATTTTCAGTTATTTAAATGGACAAGAAAAACAAGGACATTTCTTTTGGACGGTAGTGTAGATCGACTGATCAACATATGAAGAGATGGCATATGCTCGTATTCTTACACTGATTAGCCAGATGTGTGATCTAAATTGTTCTAGGATAAATGTGTGCATACTGGTTGATAGTGGTTTATTCCACTACTGTGAAGTGATGGGTAAAGCGTTAAGGCCAGTCGTACTGGAGGGTTTGTGTGGGTAAATTACAGGGGTGAAGTAATTTGTGCCAGAAACAGAGATAAGAAAATAACAGGATCCCTGCCCTGACAACAGCACTTCAGTTGAGCACAGAGATACAGCCATGTCCTGAGGGAAAGAGAGACCAGCAAATAAACAAGTGTTAAAATTAACAGTTCTCTCTTCCTCTCACCTGTCTGACAAAGTAGGCTTTGTGAGCTTGGAATGAGGATACAGGAGAGGCATAGCTCAAGATCCACACAGTCACTCACACACAGGACTGCACAAAAAAAAAAAAAACATTAGGTGGCCTACCCGAGGTTGAGGTGTTTGAGCTTCTGCAGGCTGCTGATCTGAGTGGGCAGCTCTTCTATCTGGTTGTTGAACACGTTGAGAACCTCCAGGTTCTTCAAGTCAGCCACATTGGCAGGAATGGCTGAGAGAGAGAGAGAGAGAGAACATGGAATAAAAATACAGACCAGCAGTATTTTTTCCTCCCAGCCTTTTAATTGTTATTGGACATTGCATACGCTTTCATCACTTTAAAACATACAACCATGGAGTCAAACTACGACCACGGAGTCAAACTACGACCATGGAGTCAAACTACGACCACGGAGTCAAACTACGACCACGGAGTCAAACTACGACCACCTGAAGAACCGCTATAGTCAGGCTGATGGTAGTGTGAACCACCCTGTCTTAACGAGCCAATTAGCACCCCGTCTGTCTTTGATGGCTCAATTAGCTGCTCTATGGCCAGGGCAACCAGGGCAGAGGTTTGACATTTTAATGATGGGGCCATTTCTTTTGTTCCCTACACCTCCCCCTATTTTCCCCTCTCGCCCTTATCCTCCCCCTCCTCAAGTCCATTTTTGAGAGGTGGACAGAGATCGATGGGGAGCTAAAGAGATGATGCCTCTATCCGATTAGAGGGCTGGTCAATAGGGGCGTTGTTTGGAAGGGATGGAGAAACGGACAGTGTGTACACAAACAGAACAGGCCAGGTGTACATGACAGGAATGTCCCTGGGGAGATCAGCGTGACTGAATGTGCCCCTGGCATACTGTTACCTTATCACAGGGACAACATGTCACAAAGGCTATAGTCTTTGAGGGGTGTGTGTTTTAGTGATGAGGGACAAAATTAATACAGTTACATATTGCAATATTATTTAGGACGATATTATATCGATACTTTTACTAGGTATCGTTAGCTAGCACTAGTTGGCTGTAGCTGCGCCAAAACTCCTGTATTTTTTATCCTATAGCTTGTTCTCCATCTTCTTTTTCAAAATAGTTTTCAGCACTTTTATTTCCATGACTGATCAAAACTATTTTTTTCATGCTCTCTCTTCACTCTCTGCAGCAGACATATAGTGAGAAACATGATTGGAAGATCAAATCGCAATATCGAATCTCATAAATATAGAATCGTGGGAATCATGAGAGCCGCAATACTTAGCGTACCGGCACCTATGTATTGTGATAATATCGTACGGTTAGGTCCCTGCCAATTCCCAGCCCTAGTGCGTTTGTGTGTGTATGTGTCATCTCTGTAGTCTGTAACTAAAGCTTAGTAGCATGTTGAATTACAGTATACCAGGGAGAGAGACTTTGACAACCAGTCTGAATCCAAGTCCATGTCACAACCGGTCCAGTCTGAATCCAAGTCCATGTCACAACCGGTCCAGTCTGAATCCAAGTCCATGTCACAACCGGTCCAGTCTGAATCCAAGTCACAACTGGTCCAGTCTGAATCCATGTCATTACTGATTGATTTAGAGTTGAGTCCTGAAAAATCGTGACTCGATTCCGAGCCCTAGACTTGAGTACTAAAAGACTGCTGTATTATAGTCGCTGTCTTTTAGAGTCCATTTCTCTCTATCTAGTCTCCCGAGTGGCGCAGTGGTCTAAGGCACTGCATCGCAGTGCTAGCTGTGCCACTAGAGATCCTGGTTCGAATCCAAACTCTGTCTTAGCCGGCCGCACAATTAGCCCAGCGTCGTCCAGGGTAGGGGCGGGCATGACCGGCAGGGATGTAGCGCAGTTGGTAGAGCATGGCGTTTGCAACGCCAGGGTTGTGGATTCGTTTCCCACAGGGGGCCAGTATGAAAATGTATGCACTCACTTAACTGTAAGTCGCTCTGGATAAGAGCGTCTGCTAAATGACTAAAATGTAAATGTATCCCAGTGGTTTACCCCGCACAACAAAATCAATTCCATTCAGGCTCAGTCTCAATAGACCTGCGAATGTCCACTGAATCAATGCAGAGAGAACATAGGGTCACAGAGAACTGGACCTGGCCATACAGATATAGGCCTACGCCTCAATCCATACAACACTCTCTAGTGATCTCTTCACACACTTTATTAATTTACTACACCGGCCCTGTATTCATGTGAGTAAAGTTCAACTCTTAGGTATGCTAAAGACGATACGATTTCGTACTACAAATAACACTTATGCTTAATTGTGTTTAATTGCTTGTCTTAATGGAGATAAATCAGAGGGAGAGGGAGAGAGAGCAAGCGAGAGAGAGAATAGTGTGTGTGCGTGTAATATTAAGTGTGTGGTATTGAGTGTGTGTGAAGAGGAGGCTGGGTTGGGTTGGTGTAGCCTGCAGGGGGACCCTGTGAAACTCTGGAGTTGTTAATGATCAGATAGATGGATTGATGGTAATAGGGGAGAGACATGTTAAGACTGTCAGCCAGGGAAATGGTCCCAACCTTTGGCTAAGCAGCAACAGCCATCTCATTTCCCTCTTTCTCCCGCTCCCTCTCTCTACCTATGCCTCTCCCTCTCTTTCTTTGCCTCTCTCTCTCTCATCCTCCCATAGGCTAAGTAAGCACCCTGCTCACCCTTCCATTCACCTTCCTCCTCCTCCTCTCTAATGAAAGACTTTCCAAATGTCACTGTAATATCTGACTACCTTGAAAAGTTCAAAAAGACGGCACGCTATCTTTTATATCTGTGAGCTCTTTAAAGCAGGCAGGACAAGACCAGAGCCACAGAGGGGACAGAAGGGAAAAACACAGTAGAGGTACGCTAAGATGAAGAGTAAAGCCATAAACCACATCTCCATATTTACAATACAGTGATTTACTGTGTAAAAACTAAATAGATACAGCTATGAATATTACGGCTAACAGACGGATCAGATGAGCGCACCTGGAACACCTGCAGGTAAATGGGCATGGATGATAATGTTAATTAGCTATTCCCAAAACAAGTCTCTGATCTTCTGCTATAAATAGCATGGAGAGAGAAATGTATAATGGGTGTAATCTCAATGTGTGACATCTTAAAATGGGGATTAGGGTGAGGAACAGAACAGGAAACTCAAGATACCAGCGGTATGAGATAAAAGTATGTGCCAACATGATGCAGGTAGTTAGATTTGTACCTAGTGTCTGAAGTAGTTTCAATATCAGCCCAACCTGACTGAAGATGCCAAGAGAGATCTTGTGATTGTTTTGTTCATTTGTTTCACGTGAATCCCTAGTGGGCTTGTCCCAAAATGAACTACACTCTTGTACAGATGATATACTAGTTAACAGACATAGACATGATTCTCTGCCTCACTCATTGTGATTACGTTGCTATGTTACCTGGCTTTATGTCATATTAATGCAATAACAATGTAATATAAACATATTAGCTACTTAAAATGGTGTTCTTCTTTAATTTCTCATAACTCTTAACACCATGAACCATAGGCTTTGAGATCCTAAATAGAAATCCTCAAGTAAATGCATACTTTGTCAACACCCCCAATTAAAACACAGAAGTTAACTGACTCATGAGCGGAATGTGTCTTTCAAGCTGACAACAAAGGCCTTGGTCTACTGCAAAAATGGAAGAGGAAAGTGGAAGGAGGAAAAAGTAAGGAACTTGTCTGTCGGTCCATTAAAGAACATAATTGGTTAAAGAAAATTGTGATAAATAAAAAAGTATACCAGTTTCATTTAAGGACCAAAAGATTGACAGCCGTCCCATATAGATTGCAAAATAGTTGGGAAGAGATTTTTGCCTATTCCATGGCATAGTGTTTATGAACTGATACGCAAAACGACGCCGGATTCAAAACATTTTTCAATTTAAATTATTATATAAAAATCTTGCTACCAATAGAATGTTATTTGTATGGGGATACAATCTTCCCAGCTCTGCAGATTTGGCTGTGAAGAGACAGAATCATTAGATAATTTGTTTTGGTACTGTCCATTTGTAGCTTGTTTCTGGACACCGATCCAGGAATGGCTGAAGGATTGCAATATTTGCATGGAGCTGACCCTGCAGATAGCACTACTGGGTGATCTGAAAAGTCATAGTCAATCGATCAATAATATAATAATACTTTTAGCAAAAATGTTTATTTTCAATTCACAAACTGTAGAAACAATGAGAATAGAAAGGTTCAGAACTTTTGTAAAACATCACAGTACAGTTGAAAATATGGATGGTGTTAAGAGATAGATGGGAGGTGTTGAATGGAGCTGAAGGATGGGACTAATAACAACAACTAATAACAAGATAACTAGTGTAAGACATGCTGTGTCCATAATAAGTATATAGGTTATATATTGTGAGCTTTTGTGTAAGAGCACAGTTAGAAAGATATGGCATATAGAAGCATACCAAATGGGCATCATGAAAATGATCGGAGGAAGTTCAGGAGTAAAAACAAACAAAATATAATGATTGACTGTGTCCATAAAATGTATATAGTATGTATAAGCATGAAGTAGAGGCCTAAGCATTGTTGTTCACTAGTTTACTCCAATTAGGGAAGGGATGGTGGGGTTGGAAAGTAATAAAGGGAAATATATATATTTTTAAAGGATATGTGTGTATATGCGTATATATGTATGTATATCTATATATATATATGCGAGAAAAAAGAAGAAAATAAAAACATATGGGGGATTGGAAGTGATGCAGACAATTACATTAATGGAAGTTACAATCTATCTGCAATATTAAAGATGATCTACCCCCTAGAAAAAAATAAAATAAAAAAAGATTTAAAAAATGCCTTGGTCTCCAATGCTCATCTGGGAAAGTGGGCCTTTTAACCTAAGTACTACAACACAAGTGCGCCCTCTAGTGGTATTAAGCTAGATTTCACACCCATGAGGAGTTGCTATTCATTTAACTAGGCAAGTCAGTTAACATTTACATTTACGTCATTTAGCAGACGCTCTTATCCAGAGCGACTTACAAATAGTTAAGAACAAATTCTTATTTACAACGACGGCCTACCCCGGCCAAACCTAGACGACGCTGGGCCAATTGTGCGCCACCCTATTCATAGCTGTGTATGTATGTAATTTTTAGTAAAAATCACTCTTTCAATAATATACACTCAGTGGCAAGTTTATTAGGTACGCCCTCCAATGCTTCCCACAGTTGTGTCAATGGATGTCCTTTGGGTGGTGGACCATTCTTGATACACACAGGAAACTGTTGAGCGGGAAAAAAAACCCCGCAGCATTGCAGATCTTGGCACACTCAAACCAGTGTGCCTGGCACCTACTACCATACCCCGTTCGAAGGCACTTAAATATTTTGTCTTGCCCATTCACCCTCTGAATGACACACATACACAATCCATGTCTCAATTGTCTCAAGGCTTAAAAATCATTCTTTAAATGATCCTTTAAAGAATGGTCCTTTGTAGCTCAATTGGTAGAGCATGGCGCTAGTAACGCCAGGGTAGTGGGTTCGATCCCCGGGACCACCCATACGTAAAAATGTATGCACGCATGACTGTAAGTCGCTTTGGATAAAAGCGTCTGCTAAATGGCATATTATTATTGTTATTATTTAACGGGTCTCCACCCCTTCATCTACAGTGACTGAGGTGGATTTAAGAAGTGACATCAATAAGGGATCAAAGATTCCACCTGGATTCACTTGGTCAGTCTATGCCATGGAAACAGCAGGTGTTCCTAATGTTTTGTACACTCAGAGTACATCCAAATTGGACAGAAACTATGGTTGAGACCAATGCTCTGATCTGCTTCCTACAAGAGCACAAAACGTGTAGGCTACATTTCAAGCGGTCTTTGAATTGCCAGTCAGGTAAAAAGCGTATGTCTTAATTAAAGGGGCAGTGTTGTATTTTGAGACAGGCTTGAATATGCAAATAAGTCAATATGCAGATGACTTGCCTACCCCAGCTGTATGGTAATAATAATACATTTTATTTTGTTAAGTGGTTTCTTGCATCATACAACACAATACAATGCAATTTGCAGTCACCTAATTGGCCCATGGTGTTACAGACCAAGTAAAAAAATCCTTAATTCATGTCAAGCCCTTCATAAAGTAAAAACGTTTTTAAAAGTCTCATGCAATAGGCCTGCATTGAACACCACATATAGGCTACTGTAGGCTATATCATAGAAATCAAAAGCTATTTCCATGTGAAAATGTTATCGGATTTGTTCCATTGGTTTTGTTGGTAGGCCTACATTATGCTCAAATAGCCTATTGGCTACTGTCTAAAACTGTAAGAGTACAGTCTCAGTGTTCACTGTAAATGCGCCAGAAGTTTGCCAAAAGTCTCACAAAGTTCAAGTTTCCACTCACAAGACCAAACATTTGCTCAGTGCCCCAAAAAATTTAAGGGACCATTGGTCAAAGTGGTGAAGACTGAAGGGACATGATGGGGTCTAAGTCTGCTTGCTTCACAGCTGAATAAACAACAGATAAACAGTCAGAACTTACTTGTGAGCTTGTTGTGACTCAGAACCAGCTGGGTAATGTTGGACAGTGTGACTGCAAAGTAAAAACACAAAGGACATGTCATATCTGAGGAATTACTTACAAAAGGCCTACTTACTACAACTGTACTTACAGGAATAATTAGGCCTAACAAAGTCACTGTCATGTAAAGTGTGACCGAATGTGTGAAAATGAAATTCCTATTCAATTAAATAAGATTCTATCTGACCAATCCTATAATACAAATCTAGTGTTTGGCCTATAGATGCATGCAGCAGTTTGTAGGGTACACTGTTTATTATTATTAATTTGACCAAATCCAAACATCAACCAAGTAACATGTTACTATGAAAAATACATTTGGCAACATTACACACATTTGGCATTCAAGCTAGTATGGACTAAAATGGAAAAGTGTGATCATAGGCACTGCTTTGCTTCTTATTTATCTGCTACATCATCAGCCTGATGTTGATATAGGCCTAATACTGTATAATCCCCAGAGACAACCAATAGGAATTCAGGGCTAGACCAGTGTTTCCCAACTCCGGTCCTCGAGTACCCCCCAGACAAGTACACCTGATTCTACTTGTCAACTAATGATCAAGCACTATTTCACTGTTTTTTTTATAAAGAAGATATGGAAATGACATGAAAAAGCAACGGTAGGCCCCTACTCACACAACCCTGGAATGTCCAACATGTTTGATACACCCCTGTCGCACATATCCACCTCGGGTATATTCTTCTCCCGACTCTCCTCCACGATTTTCTTCAAAGACTTGGACATTTTCTAAAACGTAACCAGGGGAAAGTCAAGGAGTTAGTTGAGTTGCTACTTTTACTTGTTGAATGAGCAGGATATGCTACTTTCTATTAACATGGCTAAGAAAGTTAGCTTGACTGCATATAATTTGAATAGGCTAGTGTACGTAAAATACATTAGAAACCCGTCCTTTGTATGTCGGAAACGACGGCGATGGTTACCTTTCGATTGGATTTAATTCCGTGTACAATTCTGGTGTTAAAAGGAGAGATATTTCCAATTTACTTCCTAGATTAAGCTGCTACCGTCTGCACACACCCAACCGGAAGTTGATGTGCAATGATCTGTAAAATGTTCTGCATGCCATAAAAGGGCATTTCCTACAATCCAAACGAATCCCAAACATTCTATGAGGATAGTTCCCTTTTCCATCCAATCGTTCTCCACAATCCCAGAGAAAAAAGGGAATGTTAACAAAGATATCCAATCGGATTCACGGTTATAGCCTACGCGAATACACTGTTGTCCTTATTCAGCCAATCGGATAGAAGGATGGTGCAACATAAATATGCTCCGCAGTGAAACAATGTAGCGCACGAAGCAAAATTCTTACGTCTTCTTATAGACCATATCCAACGCATCAATGACCGTATCGGATAGCCTACATTGTAAAAAATTACATGAACGCTCGCATAGACATTTTAATAAGCAATAATCAACGTGTTACTGATTTGAACGGGGTTAGTGTTAAACTAAATTGTGATCAACTGTGAAAATGAACAGTTTATAATCAGTGTATATATATATTTTTGGATTTTTCAAAATGTTAATTGGCTGTTAACTCCTCAACTAAAAAAAAAAAAGTGACTTCCTTTATTTCATTTTTAATTTCTAAATGATTTCATTGCTATCATTATAAAAAACTACAGGTTATTTTAGAACAATATATCTAACAAATCTGTTTAATCTATTTGTGTTTTTCCCAATTTACAAATATTTATGCTATGTTCATTGATGTGCCATATGTAGGGTTGTCACTAGTTACCACAGACACAAAGTCAAAATTGGCAGTCATAAAAATTTATGAAAACTATAATTAGCGTGTGTCTTAATTTAAGGTTAGGGTTCGGCATAAGGTTAGCATTGTGGTTAAGGTTAGGGTTAAGGTTAGAGTTAGGTTTAAAATCAGATTTTAACTTCGACTTTAAGGCTGTGGTCACTAGTGACGACCCATATTCGAGGCTATCTATTGGATCGAGGGTTAAACAGTAGGCAATTTAATAATTAATTAATAACTAATTATTGAAAACAACCAAAACTAGGCAGTACACAAAGAATGCCACTTTCCTTCAAATAACTTTTCTCTTTCTTTCACATGATGATAACCAGAGTTTAAGAATACATCACACAATAGCAGTATAATTCCTGGGCAGGTGCCAGTCAGTCCAGTCCGTAGCAGCTGTTGTCTCCTAGTGACAGCTCTCAAGCCTCCTAGTTTAGCCCACTATAGTAGTAATACGTTCCTAACATTACCTTGCGTGGGAGACACATTCTCTGGCCTGGCTCCTAGTGTCCTGGCTCAGACACGCCACCATAACACAATACACTGCAACCTGAGCTTCCTCCCTGTCCTCCTCCTACTCTTCCTCCAGTGTAGATCACCCAGACAGGCCAGGCGTGAACAGGAGGAGGTAAACCTAGAGGGCTCCCCTGGCTGAGTGCTACTTCCTCCGTGCTTGGCTGGGCTGGGTTGACGAGCCTCCATACAACACTCCCTGGGTCGTGTTGCTCTCCCTCACTCACTCCTTCCCACACTTTCCCTCTCCGTTTCTGTGCACTTGTTCTTCAGGGTGGGCAGGGGCTGGCCATCTCTACAGGAGAGCAGCAAAACAGAGGGTTCTATATATATACTGATTATATTTGGCGGACGGTGAGTGGCAACAGATGCTTGCAGCACAGATTAACTTTGCCTTCACTGTGTGTGGGGGGGAAACCTGGGATTCAGGGCCACTCTCTGTTTGCACTGTAAAATATTTAACTTTACTCAATTTGCATCCAAAAAAGGAGAGAGAAAAAAACATGAGATGAAAGAAGTGTGTGTGTGTGTGTGTGTGTGTGTGTGTGAGTTCATTGAAGTTTAGACGGCATAAGGGAGACAACGATATTAGCTATTTGGAGGCGCAAGGGAAAGGGGACAGGGCTGTGAGTGCTGGGTGTCTATGGGTACCACTACAGAGAATACAGTCATGCATACAGTTTATTCTGAAATTATTCGGACCCCTTCACTTTTTCCACATTTTGTTACATTACAGCCTTATTCTAAAATTGATTAAATTGTTTTTTTCCCTCATCAATATATACACAATACCCAATTATGACAAAGCAAAAACAATGTTTTAGAAATTGTAGCAAATTTATTAAAAATAGAAAACGGAAATATCACATTTACGTAAGTATTAAGACTCTTTACAAAGTACTTTGTTGAAGCACCTTTAGCAGTGATTACAGCCTCAAGTCTTCTTGGGTATGACGCTACAAGCTTGCCACACCTGTATTTGGGGAGTTTCTCCCATTCTTCTATGTAGATCCTATCAAGCTCTGTCAGGTTGGATTGGGAGCGTCGGTGCACAGCTATTTTCAGGTCTCTCCAGAGATGTTCAATCGGGTTCAAGTTCAGGCTCTGGCTGGGCCACTCAAGGACATTCAGAGACTTGTTCCCAAGCCACTCCTGCATTGTCTTGGCTGTGTGCTTAGGGTCGTTGTCCTGTTGGAAGGTGAACCTTCTCCCCAGTCTGAGGTCCTGAGCGCTCTGGAGCAGATTATCATCAAGGATCTCTCTATACTTTGCTCTGTTCATCTTTCCCTTGATCCTGACTAGTCTCCCAGTCCCTGCCGCTGAAAAACATCCCCACAGCATGATGCTGCCACCACCAAGCTTCACCGTAGGGATGGTGCCAGGTTTCCTCCAGGTGTGATGCTTGGCATTCAGGCCAGAGTTCAATCTTGGTTTCATCAGACAAGAGAATCTTGTTTCTCATGGTCTAAGAGTCCTTTAGGTGCCTTTTGGAAAACTTCAAGCGGGCTGTCATGTGCCTTTTACTGAGGAGTGGCTTCCGTCTGGCCACTCTACAATAAAGGCCTGATTGGAGTGCTGCAGAGATGTTTGTCCTTCTGGACGGTTCTCCCATCTCCACAGAGGAACTCTGGAGCTCTGTCAGAGTGACCATCGGGTCTTGGTAGTTCGAAACTTCTTCCATTTAAGAATGATTTGTTCTTGGGGACCTCCAATGCTGCAGAAATGTTTTGGTACACTTCCCCAGATCTGTGCCTCGACACAATCCTGTCTTGGAACTCTACGGACAATTCCTTCGACCTCATGGCTTGGTTTTTGTTCTGACATGCACTGTCAACAGTGGGACCTTATATAGACAGGTTTGTGCCTTTCCAAATCATGTCCAATCAATTGAATGTACCATAGGTGGACTCCAATCAAGTTGTAGAAACATCTCAAGGATGATCAATGGAAACAGGATGCACCTGAGCTCAATTTCGAGACTCATAGCAAAGGGTCTGAATACCTATGTACAGTTGAAGTCAGAAGTTCACATACACCTTAGCCAAATTCATTTCAACTCAGTTTTTCACAATTCCTGACATTTAATCCTAGTAAAAATTCCCTGTCTTAGGTCAGTTAGGATCACCACTTTATTTTAAGAATGTGCAATGTCAGAATAATAGTAGAGAGAATGATTTATTTCAGCTTTTATTTATTTCATCACATTCCCAGTGGGTCAGAAGTTTACATACACTCAATTAGTATTTGGTAGCATTGCCTTTAAATTGTTTAACTTGGGTCAAACATTTCAGGTAGCCTTCCACAAGCTGCCCACAATAAGTTGGGTGAATTTTGGGCCATTCCTCCTGACAGAGCTGGTGTAACTGAGTCAGGTTTGTAAGCCTCCTTGCTCGCACACGCTTTTTCAGTTCTGCCCACAAATGTTCTATAGGATTGAGGTCAGGGCTCTGTGATGGCCACTCCAATACCTTGACTTTGTTGTCCTTAAGCTATTTTGCCACAACTTTGGAAGTATGCTTGTGGTCATTCTCCATTTGGAAGACCCATTTGCGACCAAGATTTAACTTCCTGATTGATGTCTTGAGATGTTGCTTCAATATATCCACATAATTTTCCTTCCTCATTATGCCATCTATTTTGTGAAGTGCACCAGTCCTTCCTGCAACAAAGCACCCCCACAGCATGATGCTGCCACCCCCGTGCTGCACGGTTGGGATGGTGTTCTTCGGCTAGCAAGCGTCCCCCATTTAACGATGGTCATTATGGCCAAACAGTTCTCCAAAAAGTCAGATCTTTGTCCCCATGTGCAGTTGTTCTGGGATTGATTTGCACTTTTCGCACCAAAGTACATTGATCTCTAGGAGACAGAACGCGTCTCCTTCCTGAGACGTATGACTGCTGCGTTGGTCCCATGGTGTTTATACTTGCGTAATATTGTTTGTACAGATGAACGTGGTACCTTCAGGAGTTTAGAAATTGCTCCCAAGGATGAATCAGACTTGTGGAGGTCTACAATAATTTTTCTGAGGTCTTGGCTGATTTCTTTTGATTTTCCCATGATGTCAAGCAAAGAGGCACTGAGTTTGAAGGTAGGCCTTGAAATACATCCACAGGTACACCTCCAATTGACTCAAATGATGTCAATTAGCCTATCAGAAGCTTCTAAAGCCATGACATATTTTCTGGAATTTTCCAAGCTGTTTAAAGGCACAGTCAACTTAGCGTATGTAAACTTCTATAGTCGCTCCATGAACCATTGTTGGTAAGATTAATATTGTTTATCAAATGTTTTTCTGTGTTGTCTTATGTGACCTCTGTTAGCAGATGATTGGTAATGGCATAAGATATAATTGGTTGTCTCTTGGTCTTGTCTTTGGTTTCTAAAAGGTTACGTGGTGGAGAAATGTGGCTCCAACAAAAAAGAGGATCTGAAGATAGTTACGTCAAA